TTTTGTGTGGTTTCTGCCTTTAACTTGTGTTTTCTTAACGGCGCGGGGGTGGGGGTCCGGGCGCTGTTCCTCAGCGACACTGCCCGGCGGAAGGGACCCTATAGGGGAGCCGGAGCGGGGACCGCACCCTGCCCGGGTTGGCGAGGCCCTTCCGCGGGACCCCACGCTCGGTGAGAGGGGGGACCCGGCTCGGCGGGGGCGGCCGCAGGTCCCGCTCCACGCCCCGGGCTCGCGCTTCTCACGACAGGCTCCGCGTGGGCCCTGGGTTTGGGGCAGAGAAGCCCATTTCCATGCCCAGGCGAGGTCGGAGAACAGGTCGGTCGAGGGCTGTCCCGGCTTTCGGAAACTTTGTGAAGGGGCCACGAGGTGTTAAAGGTGTTAAAATGTCACTTTCCTATGGCGTTTGCAAGCCACAGTCGACCCAGCTAAGTCTTAGATTTGACGTCTATCTCTTCGGGTTTTCTTCTTTCTCTGCCATGGTTTCCTTTAAAGATACCATGGTGGGGAGTGGGCATATTGCACACCGAGATCTCCTGGCGAAGACAAGGTAGACCCCAGCCACAAACCGTGGATTCCTTTAGAATATTTAAAATACAGTACTAAAAGAGTTGCTTTTGTAATAAAAATACTCTTCTCATTCTGGGCAGACAGCTGTATTTTTCCTGAGTATATTGTAAGAAATAGCGTTGAAAATATGGAGGATAAAGCAGCAACAAAACCCAATTTACCAATTCAAGAGATTGAAATGTCACTTCATGGGTAAAAAAAGAAAATGCCTTTTCTGGGAGGAATGTTAATATTGCTTGCCTTTGAGAGTTGGGATGTGAGGTGATTTTCTTTTTATGATATATTTTGTCTTTTGTAGTTTTTGCTGGTGATATGACTTACCTTCATAGCTGGTGGCAAAAGACTTCATAAACATTTTTTTAAGCCTTCAAGAAAAAATCTTTTAAGTATATTTGTATTTTATTGGGCCCATTTAAATTATAATTGTATATTCACGAACAAAAACTAATAAACGGAGATTAATTCAGATGGAGAGAAAATGAGGTTTTTGTGGGACATCTGGCAGAGCTGGCAGAGGTAAATTGGTATCAGGTTTTTCTAAGGTCAAGCTCAGAGTCAGAGATGTAGGAAGCAGAGTGGATTTCTGATTGTTAATCCTGTAAGGGTGTAAGAAATTCAAGAAAGTGTGGAGTACGAAGAGAAGCTGGGAAACACAATATATATATATATATATGATGAGTAGCGAGTGAAGGAGCCTGAAAAGGAGGATTCGAGAAAGAAGGGGAAAGCCAGGAGAGGGCAGTTTTAGGAAGGAAAGGTCTGTCTGGGAGTGCAGTGGGTCTGAGGGTTTAGAAAGTGAGGAACAGATTAAGTAAGTGCCTATTGGCTTTGGTAGTTTGGAGGGCGTCATCAATCCACCTAGCAAAGATAATCTAAGTAAAATGGTAAAGTTAGAAGCCAAATCTGAATGAATTTGAGGTGTGACTAGAGGATGAAGAAGGAAAGTTACTGATTATTGTATGAGGGTACCTCATGGAAAAATAGAATTAAAGTACAAGTTTATTTTGGTACAAAAATTTTTGAAATTCATGCATAGTTTTTTTTTTTTATCATACTCCTTTTCCATGAACCTTTTGAGACCCTCAGGGAATCCTTATTTTGAGAAACAGATTATAGGAGGTGACACGGTATAGTTATTGAGAAGTTTACAGTCAGATTGGAAAGACTGTAAGGATTATAGCACACCTGTGTGTTAAAGTACGTCATTCACAGCATCATATCTCTTCTGTGGTTAAGTAGCAAAAGCTGAGAGCAAGTGCCTGAGTATTTTGAATAAAACTATTCATAATATTTTGTCCTCCCTCATCCAAATTATATCAATAAATGTTATATTAGTGGTATTTTGGTTCAGATGTTATCAAGTGTTTAAGTCACAAGTATAAAGTGTGGTGGACTGTATTTCATCTGAGTTTTAGTACTTTGATACTCCTAAATTGCTGTGATTCTTTCATGTATGTCTCAATGATTTGTCTAAAAATCTTATGTGGAAATCGAACCTTTGAATAAATCAGAATCAAGATTTGTATCAATTAGGGCCTGTGATACAATTGATTTGCTTTCAAGAGAGAAAGCTCTTAGATTAAAATTTGTATGTCCTCACTTATATATACCGAGTGTCCACACTCTATGACTGAAACTGATTGACTAAAGGATATAGAAATACAGTAAATGGGTGTAAATACCAGATATTGAGTGTGTGAAAGAGGAGGGTCTGAGGAAGGACATTGAGAAGAAAAATAGGTCAAGCATTAATAGGAAAAAGAAATGTATTATCTGTTGAAAATATTTTATAGTTTTATCAACTGGACTAGGGAGAAATGTTCACCTGTTGAAATATTCACTTTGTAAGCTAAATAATGTGATCGAATGTATAAAAGAAAATGAAAATTTAAAAATGTAAAAACAAAAATTTCTTGGACCAGCACATGTCATAATGGTTACATCACTGGATTCCCACTGGCTGACCCTGGTTCGAGTCCCGGAGCCCCACTAGGTGTGTGTAGGTGCATGCCCAAAATACTGAGAGTAGAATGGAGGAGAAGGGATTATAGTGTGGCCATCCCCCCGGGGTGATTTGTCATTTTCCGTCTCTCTCTCTCTCTCTCTCTCTCTAGCAATCACACATGCTCTGTGGCAAAAATCTCTCTCTCTTTTTTTTTTTTTTCTGAGAGATTTTTGCTATAGGGCCCATGTGCTCGCCAGACAGAGAGAGACGGAAAGCGAGAAATCACCCCCCAGGGAGGATGGCCACACCACAATCCCTTCTCCTCCATTCTCCTCTCGGGATCTTGGGCACGCACGCACACGCGCCTGGCGTGAGTTTTAAGCCACGGGGTCCGGGACTCGAACTGTGGTCAACTACATGGGAGTCCAGCAACATAGCCATTACGCTAACTGCTGGTTCCCGCAAAAATCTCTCTTAAAAATTTTTTTGAATAATGAGTTTCAATTCAGTCTTTGTTGGAAATTTGATTTTTGTTTGTTTGTTGCTCTAGAGTTCAGACAAGTAGTTTAATGAATACTTTCTTTAGGAATATGAAAAGAATGGTTAAAATGAGTAAGTCCTGCTATCAAGTGTTAAGGATGTGGGACAAGTGGAACCCTCATGCTTGCTGGTGAAAGTGTAAATTGGTGCATTTTTGGAAAACTGTGGTAGTTTCTACTAAAGTAAAACATGCATAAACTGTGCTCATATGTATGCCCAACAATATTCTAGAAAATGCAAATTAATGTGCTAGAAAATATATTGGTTACTTGGAGATAGGGCAGGTAGAAGCAAGGAGGGATGGATTAAAAAGGCATATAAGGAAATTTTTGAGATGATGGATATATTCATTTTCTTAATTATAATGTTTTCACTAATGTATACATAAATCTGACTCATTTAATTGTGTTTTAATTATGTGTAATTTATCATAAGTCAGTTATAACTCAATAAAGGTGTAAAAAAGATTAAATAAAAATAGAGTGGACGAAAAACCTAACTTAAGTATATTTATCTTCTTTAAATATTGTGGTTATCTCACAGTGATGGGATTATGGATTATATTTCCTTCATATAGTTTTTTGTATTATTCATAATTATAACAATGCATTTACCTAATTTTCAAATGAGAAATTATTAGATATGTGCAAAATAGTACTTTTGATACCTCTATTGATTTCGAGAATAAAAATAAACAACCCTGTACCCAATTCATGCTTAAGAAATAATGCATAACTAGGATTTTCAAAGCTGTCTGTAAGCTCACTGATTATATCGTCGTCTTTCCACTTTTCTTATTTTCAGTACAGTTTTAATGCATATGTATGCACTTTTTTTTCATATGTATGCAGTTCTAAACAAGGTATTACTTGTTTTTACTTATTTTGAGATGCTGTATAAATGAAATCATACTATCTTTCATGACTTTTTTATTTAAAGAACTTTTTTATTTAATCTTATTCATTGTCATTATTTTTATTTTTTTAAAGTTGACCAGAGAGAAACAGAGAGAGAGAGAAGAGAGAAGATAAGTGAGAGAGCAAGCTGCCAGGTCTGGGACTTGAATCACGGTCAGCCATGTGGGAGTCCAGCTGCCTTATCCACCATACCACCTGCTGGCCCCATCAATGACTTTTTTTTAATACATTATATTTGTGATATTCCTCCATATTGATGTGTTTGTTTACGTTTATTATTGTATATATTTTCATTATATAACTTCACTGCCATTTAGCTATCATCGTGTTGATGGATATTTAGGATGTTTTCAGTATTTTTTCTTTTTATACATTTTTACTTGTTCTCATCAAAAGCTGTTTTGTTAAGATTATTCTAATCCTTGTCATTTTGTGTCCATGTGCAAGAATTTCATAGACTTTAAAGATCTAGGAGAATTGTGGATCTTCAGTAATAAATATTAGATAATACTGAATTATTTTATAGAATGGTTATACAGGTTGGAAGTCCATAATCTGAAAATCCAAAATCTGAAATACTCCAAAATTCAAAACTTTCTGAGTGCCAGTGTGACTACAAGTAGAAAATTCCACACCTGACCTCATGAAACAGGTCATAGTCCAAACACTGCAATACAAAAATATCGTGTACAATAACTTCCAGGCTATGTTTATAAAGTTGACATGAAACACAATGAATTTTGTGTTTAGATATGGGCCCATCCTCAAGATATCTCTTCATTTATAGCAAATATTCTAAAATCTGAAAAGAAAATTCCTAATTCAAAATATTTTTGGTCCTAAGCATTTTAGATAAGGGGTATTCAACTTAAATCAGTGTATACCTTCTTGAGCGGTACATAAGTGTATTTTAAAAACAATTAAAAAGTAGGAATTACTATACCAGTGAAATCTGAAAATATGAGAGACTCAAGCTCTTCAGTCTAATTTGTTCTGATGTTATTTGCTAAACTGGGAGAACTTGATGGCTTTGAATAGGAACTAGGTGGATTCACAGTACATGAGGAATAGTTGGAAGCAGTCAAGGGCTTATTCAAGGGCAGCTAACAGACTTTCTGCCCTCAGTTCTGTGTCCCAAAAGGCTACGATGTCATGAAAATTATGAGAACTCATTCTATCTCCTTCAAGGAACTGCAAGGAA